AATTGACAGAAATACCACATTTACACATGCATGCACATGCACACACACAAAGGGTTTAATTGGTGACTCCCACACCATAAAATTGTATACACAAATACAATTACTATGGCCACACAGAATAAAGTACATTTAACAGCACACGGTATCAATATTTGCATTAGCATTTTTATCATTATTTTAAAAATTTTCTTGGCCAATTTAAACAAAAGCTTTAAAAGAATTTTTGAATGTCACTCTACCTTATTTTTTTTTTTTTTCTGAAAACTAAAGTTTAAAATTTAAAATATATTACTTATATTAAAAATAAAACTCCAAAAATGGAAAAGAAAAGTCATATAACACTATTTTAATTTTAAACAAATTCTTGTTCTTTTTTTCATAATAAATTACATTTAAAACTACAAGTAATTTTTAAACCATACAATTTGCAATTATCTATTCCGATTTGTATTATTTCATTTGAATAATTTCGGAGTTCATTCCTATAGAACATTTGAAAGTAAAATCCAAATCAAATATATTTAAATTTGATAATGTTCTTTGACACAAAACCTAAGCTCATTTAATAATATATTTTTATTTTCTTTAATTGCATAGTAAAAATCACATGAACTTTCAATGATGAAAACTATTAGTCACATTGAATTATATCCTCCCCTCAATAAATAAATAAAATAAAATAACCTTCACTTTTAAGTAATACTTGTTATTGATACACTCTCAACCATATTCAATTTTTTAAAATAACTTTAAAATAGGCATACCATCAAAAAGCAAACAAAAGTCATAACAAAATCATAGTAAATTATTTCTTGTATAAAATGCTGCAAATAGTTTATAAAATGTTGAGAAGTAGACAAGAATAAGTATGTGTAACAAACAAATAAAAAAAAAAGGCTGGGAGTAAGAAAGTGCAGAATAGGTAATAAGAAATATGAATAAAATATGAACAAAAAATAATTGTTTTTTAGAAGTAATATAATAAAGATATAATATATAATATAGAATAATATAATAATAATATATATAGAGATATAATATAGAAGTAAATAATATAATAATTTAGAAGTAATATAAGAATGTGGCAACATTTTAATCATAGTTCCCAACATATGTAAATTTGTAGTGCATTACTTCAATTTATTCACACTTTTTATTCAGATTTTTAAGATCCTTCCAATAACTAAGTCTTTGCATTATACTCTACACATGTGCTATGATTATACAGTATTTTGACTGTTTTGACGTTCTAAAGTCCTACTAGCTGTAAATTTGAAAGTGACTATTTTTTATTATTTTTTCCCATTTTAAAAGTCTTATTGTGACTTAGATTGACTCAAAATAATAGTATTTACAGAGAATAAAATACATAAAAAAATTAAATTAAAAAAAAAGAAAGAAACATTATTATAAAACATTATTTTTTAATTAATCCAACTAATATGAAACATGCAAGTTTAATAAACCATAAAGCATTACTTTTAATAAGACAATACATGAGAAAAGTGGAACTTTGAATTATTATATATACTTACAACTTTTATTAATAGAACCAAATATTTTTCACATGTTTCTAACAACTGCTCTCTATTTTGTAAATATGCTCCTGAAAAAATTTCAAAAAAGTAAAATTACACAAGAATACATACAAAACATAATTTTTTATTTTAAAAAAGAAAGGAAAAGTGCTTTCCAGCCAAATCATGCAAAATTATTTGGCCTCCTAAAAATACAATGCACCAAATACATTAAGACTTTTCTGACTTTGTAAAGTATCGTATGTTAACTAATTGCTATCATTTTGATCTTCTCTAACTTCTTCCTTCTGCATTCCTTCCTCATCAGAATGCAAATAAGCTTTGAGAGTATTTAAACAGAGGATTTCGAATCTTAATTGAAAAGAGCTTCTGGCACTCACATCTGTAGTTTATTTTTTCCCATCAACTCAGCTAAAAGTGATGTTCCAGCTTTTGCATTCTTGATAGCCTATGCTTTAATCTTTGGCCAAAAGTAAAATAAATACGCCAGTTTATTCTAATGAATGTGCAGTCTCAGAGTACTTTATCAGCATTTTAATTGAACTGTCTGTCTACCAGGAGTAGTGGTGATTTGTCTGTAGCACAAGTTACACCTTATGTTCAGTTCATATTAAAATAAAAAGGTTATTTTAAACCTTTTTAGTATTTTGTGAGTTATTAAAATGTGGCAATAATTTGCTATCTTGTGCTTCTGCTTTACTTTTTATCAATTACAGTAAGGCATAATATAAAATGTAGCAATAATTAATGTGAGAACTTTCTACAGCTACGGTTTCAATATATATATGTTAACATAATGCTGATATGCATTTTCTCTGATTAGTTTGACAATGATAATAAAAAAACTTAAAATAATAATAATAATAATAAAAACTACTGCATTTTCAATTTCTAAAAAAAATAAATAAAATAAAGCAGGAGAAAGAAAAGAAGAATTTTGTATACTGACGTATCTAACACCCAATTAAATACAGTACCAATAAAAAATTTGTCCCTCCCAATTATCTGAACTGTTAAGTGGCATATCTTCAGATGCGCAAAGTACACAGAGGCACAAAGTAGTTTTTGGGCAGAAAAATGCTAGGAGATATCGATTATTTGATGCAGCGAAAAGTAAAGTGATAGTGGTATAGGGAAAACATTGTGAATGTGTGGGCTGAGTGACTTTAAATATGCAGGCTAGAAATAAATTATATATATATATATTTGGTCTCTCTCTCTGTGTGGGAAAGAGAAACTTAAAAGAATATGTAATATTAGAGTTGAACTTCTTTAAACTTACTGAAAATTAATTTTCAAGAGGATATGATACAGTTAGATATAAACAAGCTGGAAGAAAAAGAAATCAGTCTTGGGCCTTAAGGAACTAAATCCAGAAGAGAAAATGAAGTTTGTCCAGTCAGTAAGAAAAATTTCAATTTTATTTGATAATACTGCAGGGTTGACACATGTGGTCAGTCACTTGATTGGAACAGGAAATAACTTTGCAAAATCCTTACTGCTATGACAATGTTAAAGTGGAAATCATAAAAAAAGCATACTATGGACATGCTGAAAAAAAATTATCCCCATTATGTTATCCCCATTAATTATCCCATTACAAAAAGTAATTTCCTACAAACTGATTTTAAAACATGGCATTTTACTACTGACTACAGAAAACTAAACAGCATAACAAAATACCTGGTTTACCCCTTACCAATAACTGAGGAATTAATGTGAAAAATTAAATCTACTAAATACATGGCAATGCTGAAACTCATGCCTGAATGATTTCAGATAGGTGTGAAACCAGAAGACATGAACAAAAATCGCATTTATTACCAAATCAGGTATTGATGCCTTCCTTAGAATGCCATTTGGCCTATGTGGAGCCTCTGCTACATTTCAAAGAGCTATAGGCATTATCTTAAGACTTGTCTCTGCAAAATCAACATTCATATATTCAGATGACCTAACAGTCACAAGCAGCACAATTGACAACGTTCTCTCCCTTCTAAAAAAAAGCAGTTTTACATGCAAATGCAGTAAAATGTAAATTTGCAGCCAAAGAACTTCGATACCTGAGTTATTAGATATCTGAGCAAGGAAAATGAATGGAAAATTCCGAAACTGCAGTAATCCAAAAATTATCCACTATCTAACACAGCAAAAAACTGGCATTATTTTTGTGTATTATAGAAGACTTATTTTACTTAAGTAGCAGAGCCTTATAAAATTAAAAAAGAAAAAAAGGCTAGATTCACTTGATAAGAGAAGAAAACATGCCTTTTAAAAAACTTAACGTAGCATTAATCCATGCTCAGCCAATTACAGTATATACAAACCATGCATCCATTGTATGACTGTATACGAATATGATTAAATTACTAGAATACAATTTAATAATTAAATGCACTCCAGGGAAACAAAATGTTGCAACAGATGCCCTACCATAAATTAAACTCTAGATGATACATGAAAGAAATTAAAATGTGCCATGCTAACTCCTAACATTTTAGATTCACAAGAAACAATTATTTCAAAGCTGCCAGTGCACATAGAATTTTAAATTATCTATACTTATTTGAAACACCCCTATCATTTTGAACATAATGAGAATTAGAAACAAGGATGCAAATTATGAAATTATACATAACCTTTTGTTTATGCTAACATAAAGAAATAATAATGCTATGCATTTTTATATATGAAAATAATTTTAGTGAAACTACACGTAAATTGTAGCATCTTGTGCATAATGTAGCATCAAAAGTCTCAAGAATGTGAAGCTTTGCTGGAAAAATAAGAATACAGGGGCAAGTTCACTTAAACTGAGGGCAATGGTTTTGGCAAACAAACTTTTGTCCCCAACTGTCGGCAAATTTAAAGACCATTTGGCGACACTTTGGAACAATCACTACATAACTACGACTGTATAAGCCTTCCAACAATTTTATGAAACCAGAGATACTCGAAATTTCACAGGGGACATGTGGAAACAATGTAGGACAGAAGAAAGCATCAGTTCTCAGTCTATTTCTGAGTTCAGAGTTTAGCTCAAAGCACCGAGAGATCACCGTGGGAAGTTATGCATTTGAGGCTTTTTATACAGTCTTGTGCTTAACGCTTCTTAATAATACAGGCGCATAGCCAGGCTCTGGGCTCCCGAGCACCCTCCTGCTTCACCACTACCTTCGAAGGTTAGGGAACACTTTCAAGTCGTAAAGCTTTTGTTCTATTACAGCTTTGAATATCCCTCCATCTCTGGTCCCACTTTGCCTCTAGCTATCAAGCATAATGTCACTAAAGAAGAAAAAGCCCTTTTGTTTCAGACCAAGCATCTGAAAGCATAATATTTAACAGAAAATAAGTATTTACAAAAAAAATAAGTTGGGTTATTTAATTTTGAGATTTGCTACTTATTATCTTAATATTGCACAAAAGAGGGAAGGAAACACAGTAAAATAATTTTGAGTAATTGTTTTTTACATTAATTTTGAATTTCACTTAAGTCAATAAATATAACTTTTTTTTTTTGAATAATGTAGAGAGCATGGCAACTTCGATGCTTTCAATGCAATGAATTTTATTTTCTTAGTCATATAGCAATTTAAATTATTGCCGTTTAAAATGATCTAATAGGGTAGTTGTTAAATACACAGATAAAAAAATTCATTCACTGCCAAGTAATTTATTTTATTTTATTATTAGCCTGAAGAGGCAAATTGTCCAGAAGGGATATTAATTTTGTTTTGGAATTTTGCGACATTTCACTTACTCAATATAGGCATCTGGAAGCCCAAATTTGGAGTTTAGAATTTGCTTTATTATCTATTTCATATTTTCTAAAACTTTAACGAAATTTTGATTAACAAACTCATTAATTTCAAAACAAGCAATGGCAACACTGTACGAAAAGAAAACATTTTTATCTCCAGCGCGTGAGACTGTATCAGAAATTCTACAGATATTCTCTTTTTAGTTTATTTTGCGGTACTGCTGTTGAATTGAATTTTATGGTTTAAATGCGAAGAACACGATATTTAATAAATAAAGGTAACACTAAAAACGTTAAAAAATGCCCCTTTAAGCGTAATATAAAAACTGAAAACTTTTAGATTTATTTATTTTGTGCGTGTCTGTATTTGGGAACAAATAATCAAATAAATACCAATTAAAAGAAGTATAAATTAAGAGATTTTAAATAGAATGAAAAAAGCCCATAACCTAGTACTAGTGGGCAGAATGGATAAGATTGATGAATGGCGCTAGTTCGACACAGGTTAGAATATCCGGGAACGAGTTGAACGAGTGTTTATAGTTTTCCTTGCATATACAGTAAACAGACAAGTTTCCCTTTGAAAGTCCTTCACGGCATCCCTTCCTATAGACAGACAACCTTTGTTTGCTTTTCCGTACTGATTTAAACAAGCAGTAGCAAGCATATATGAAATAATAATTATAATGATAAAAATTTGATGATGCAATTGTAAGATCATCGTCGAAATCATGCCGAAACCATAAATCAACAACATCCCTTTTCGAAGAAAATAACTTTATTGGCATGGTCTTTGTTTTGCAAAAAAAAAGATGTTCTACACTATAGTTTTAACATGTTTATCAGAAACAAATGCATTTTACTTTTTGATCATAATGCAAAACAGAAAAATAATATTAAAAAATTCAGTACTAATATTGTACCATAATAGTACCCTTGTCATCGGTAGGGGAATGTGAAAATATTGTTAATTTTTCCTGGTTCATTATAACAGGTTAGACTCATGGCCTAAAATTTTAAAATATAAATATTTTTTTCATTTTTCAATTCTATAGAGTAGAACATTGATTTTTTCAAAATTCTTAAAGTTGCTTTTTTTCAGTTTTAAAGCTTCTTTCTCCTTTTTAAGGAAAAAAGTAAGCATCTAAATAACAAAGGCGTATCTATGAATAGAACCAAGGCATTTTACTTAACTGCAGGAATCACTATAGAAGGTCTAATTAGCCCTTAGGGATAAAATATGAGGGATCCGGGCAATTTGATTATGAGAAAGTGAAAAGTAACGGATCCAATCTAAAGTCTTCGAAA